ATATATCTCATGCAGTGATCTGAAGTGCTGTTGATGGCATCCCCAGGATCTACATTATATTGCTGATAGTTTGGTGTGACACATTTGAAGCAGGTTCCTGATGTATGTACAAACATTTGTGTACATGTACAGTGTACATGTAAATCCAGGAAAACCCCTTGAAACAATCAGGATCTTTGGTTAAAAGTACAAATTTCATTTGTAGCAGAGATGTCTTTGTTCCTCTGAGAAACCTTTTAAAATGCATTTGCATACATTTTGTTTTATTTTTAGTTTTCAACATTTTTTCATTTTGGGCCACTTTAAACACATCTGCAAACACTGCATGGTTTAGCATGGCATTTCCATTGATGCCATAATGCCTGCTGCTTTTGAACAGTCTTTGAGAAGTCTCTTCTCTGCCAAAAATCAATCTGGCAACTTGTTGAGTTCTGTCATGGTTTTGTGAAGATGCCAGCCTAGGGCAAGGTTAACATGGCCACTGAAGGCTTTGCCACCTGCTCTGATTATTAGGTACCTGTAGAAACTTGTACAATCTGTCATCATGCTCATTGCTTCTTGCCAGAGCAAACACCTACAAACCCCAGCAGGTGAGGTAAACACTATAAATTGCCCACCTGCAGGCAATTAAAGTCACCAGGTACATGTAGAGTAGCAACAGGGGGATGTTTGAAATGCAATGGCTCCGTTCGGGCTTGGTGCATGAATGAGAGAATGCACTTCTGTACTTAATACATGTAATGACATCTCATGAAACCAACACACTTTGTGTGCACATCTGTACTATTTCCCTTCCTCCATGTGTGAAGCAAACCAATAGTTTCTTCTTGTGGATACTGTGCGGGTGATGGGAGTGGTCAGCAATATCCACGTGTGCCCCACCTCTCATCATGGGGTTATTTAGAGGTACGAATAGCTCAGAATGTATTAGAACCGGCACTTGACGTCTGGAGACAGGTTACATAATTCTTATGACTACAAGGACAATTGTAAATTGCGGAATAAGGTTTCTGTAGTCCACATTCTACTACATTGATCAATGTCTTAATCCTAAGAGCCGTGCTGTGTATGTTGGACCATCTCACAGCTTGGGGGGAGGGAATCTGCCCCCTAAGAACTCAGTTGTCCCTTGCCGGTTTTTAAAAACTTGACATGCATGTAATTGTAAAGACACTCCTTACAGCCCATATGTGAAGGTACAACTTCTACCTTTGACCTTGTTTCTTTATTATGGTGGAAGTTCAAGGCCACACTTGTGCCAGCCCAGGTATGTGCATTGAGCAAAGCTGTGGAAAAGTATACATTTTTGGTATTTGATTTTCAGAAAACTGGTGTAAAAATAACACTAAGTGTTACTAACATTACTCCTGAAGGCTGAAGACTTGGCTCATGAACAAAAATTGCACTGTGGTGATATCAGGGAAAGTGCCAAGGAGAGCAGATTTTATCTCTCTCCCCCCCCACTATTAATAAGGGCATAATAAGTATGTGATTGGCAAAGGAGAATGGACGTGGTAAGGGCATTATCAGTCTTCAATCTCCTGAGGTAACGTTTAAGACCAGCCAAGCACATACATATATTGTACTGGTATGTATGTATTTATTCCCATTCATAAATACCTTTTTTTATTGGTTGGTGTCAAAAGAAGTCAATGTAAGATGAATTTCCAACAATTTTGTTTTAGAATTTTGTGTTCATTTTTCTGTACACCCCTGTCCATTTTATGGTACTGTATATTCCTTGTGCAAGTTGTCCAAAAGAATCTCCTTACATGGACATGGGGAGCCACATGCACACAGACTCTTGACCAATCAGAATCAATTAAACTGTCTTGTATCCAGGCGCCAGCGCTTGATTTACGCAGCGGGCATTATCACTCTTCAGCGAGCATGTTCAAATGTTAAGAAGTACAGAGTCAAGTTGCACATTGTGGAATAGGGAGACTGTCTGAGGTACATGTATTTATAAATGCAGGGTAAATACCCTTTGAACATTTGGTCAACTTGTTACTTTACACAATTAAATGTATATGATCAAAAATTTTTAAAAAGCATTTTCACAGGAGTCTGAAATGTTTTGACTGCTTTACATTTTGAGTTACTGTGTACTTTATACAGGTTGATACGCCTATTACTTTGAACATTAATGTGTTCATGTTAAATTGATACGGCAGTCTTACCTTTTTTGTCAGTCTCACCTTTCTTTGTAATGAAAATTTAGAAGAAAACTCCAGAGAATGTGGTACATGCAAATATCAATCAGACACAGAGCAACTGTTGTGTATGACCTGACTGTATGTGACCCGAGTAGGATGTGGACATGTCTCACAGTTCATTGTGAATCATGTGGTAACTTCTGATCAAAAATATTTTGACCTGGGAAGGGTTTGAACCTAGGATGTCTGAGCAGCTGATGTATAACACTTACATGCAACAGCCCAAGATACTGATCTGCCATTGTTGACCCTGCACTGACCTGAGTGGGATGTGGACCTGGGTCACATTTCCTCTGTTGTAACATTAAAAAATACTCGTATGTTAAACTTGTGATGTGTGTTTTCTAGATTTTGTGATAATAATCATTCCTGGCTGTGGGTCAACCACAGCTGCACGTGGGTGGAAATCCAGTTGACAGGATGCCTTTGCATGTATTTGCCGGAACGTCTTGCTAAGAATGGTTTCATTAACCCAGAAAGAAATGCCTGTGACCCAAATGATTGAACATTTATTGAACCACAGGATTGTCCTGACAATCACACAGGTTAAGAAGGCTTGATTATAGACCCAAGAGTTAAATATTATTAGAAGCTGATTTTTTTTCATGAGTCTGTCATCAGTTGCTGAGATTTATAGTTTCAAAAAATGTACACCTGTGGGAGAATTTTCACTGCTAATAATTTAAAAGAAGTTCTGTAGAAGTATACTACATGTATACATTATGCTCAAATAAAAAAGGTGAAAGCTTATTATGCATTAGTTTGATTGGTTGATTTTGAGGAAAATGGGGGATGTTGGTCAAGAGTCTTTTTTTAATGGGGCATTGAACTATCGCACACATCCAACAAAACAGGTCAGTGAATGACTTGTGAAAATCTTTTAAGTCCTGTTTAGCAGGTAAATGGAGTATCTTTATGGAGGTCTGTAGCTGTCAAACTGCCAATAAATCATCAAAGAATATTGTAAACGACTCAAACTACCTGAGCAAGATTCAAGGGCTCTCCCATGCTCTGCCATCCAGTCCTGCCATAAATCCTGAGCATTAATGTAAATTGTTTTGTTGGCAGGGCTTCACCTGACATCCATGTCATAGAGAAGTTAGTAGAGTTGTTAAACCCTGAAAACCTTTTAACAGTCTGTAATCCTAGTCATTGATTTGGGGGGAAAAGGGAGTTTAGGGTTCTGTTCTCCTTAAAATGGCATCAGAGATCTTTAAAGGTTGGAAAAATTCAACAATTATTTGTTATTGTGTTCTACATACTCTTCACTGTGGTAAAAAAAAATTAAGTAACACGACTAGAGTATCATTCGATTTTTCTATTATTTCAATTACATTGTGTACCAAAATTGAAGTTTTAAAATAAATGCATGTATGTAGGTAATAAATCAAGGTACATGTACATGTACGTAAATTGACTATTTAGTGCAAAATGGAACACATACGCTGTATTGAGTTCAAACTAATACAAAGTTCAAGGAACAGTTGTAGCGTTAGTAAATGTACAAGTACAAAAATGACAGAACAATTCAACTCAAGATCCTTGGGTTTATCACTAGACCTGAGTTCCCTTTGAATGAAAACCCTTGACTAGATCCTTGCTTTTCCTCTTTTTAACTTCCCCCTGCATCCTTTTTGGAAGGTCATTCCCAAGGAAATTCACAGTGTGAGGATGATATCCTTGACACTAACAGCTGCCTTGAGATGGACAGGACACAGGAAACATTCCTAGCATGTGTTGTAATGCTCCCAGTGATATGGGCATGACTGTCCCATCAACTCTTCCTATTTTTTCAAAAAGTCCATCAAATCCTTAAATTATCATTTGGATCTTTACTTGCCTTTTCTCTAAGGATTTGTTGCTTGACAAAGTAATATTAATACAAAGAAGCCATATACGATACATGTAGTCAAGATATTCAGTCTTGAAAACATTATTTGATCAATTGCCTTGTATTGAAAAGATATGCTACACATCCCTTCAAGCTTCAAGTGTGATAAATGGTTTTGTTATGCATTAAAATACCTATTAAAATATGCTCAAAATTTGCATGAACAGCAAGTGTAAAAGATTTTATGTCAGCATGAACATCATAACATGGTTACGCAAATTATTTGTCAAATTGTAAATTGTCCACATAAATAATTGTTCAAATTAAAGGACACAGAGAATCAAATTTTATCACTGAGGGGCCAAACCATGGCTGTCATCAAATGAAAATAAATACTGTTACCTTTACTAAAACAAAGTTCTGTTGTTTGTTGATCAAAGCTATATAAATGGGAAATATGTTATTTTCTTCTCAAAACCTTTTGTCTGGGAACTATCCTTAACGGGTCAAATTTTAAACAAGAAACACCAGACATATCGCCTACTCTGGGTGGTCTAGGTTAATACTGCTTGCGGCAGCCATATAAATCATGAACCAGGAAAACGTGACCACGAACATGAAGTTCACGTTGTAAACAGCTGCTTTGTTCCAATGGGAAAAACGTGGCTTTCAGCTATGTAGAATGAAGTGTGATTTTGTTGTTCATTTTTCCCTTTTAGTGAAGGAGAAGCGATCACAAAGCATGTTTTGTAGCAGAGAAACTGCCAGTACTTCCAAATTTTCTGAACCATGGAACTACAGAGCGAGCTGAGATTCGGCTGATTTTAAACACAATAAAGTAACAAGTTGTGAATTTTATTCTAAAATGCAAACTGATTGCCTTAAGTCTTTCCTTCTTATCATCATCATTGGTCCTCATTTTGCTGCATTTACCTCTTTTTGACTAAATTCAGAGGATGCAAGACAAACTGAGAATGGAACAAATGAGGAAAAAACACATCACCGAGTGGCTAGAGCAGTGACATCAAGACCGGAGAGAAAATGGCCGTACGGTGTTATCCCATATGTCATTGACGGGAATTTCACAGGTACCATGTTACTATCAATCCCATGGTTTATGTGATGAAGTGTATGCACTACATGTCAACAAAAGTAATTCATGCACTCATGGAAACCAATCTATACCACACACTAGTACTGCATGTACATACTGGTAGCTAGTAGCCGACATGCTGAACTGATTTTAAATTGCAACACTCTCAAAATTTTGCATAACATGTACAAAGTACACAAAAACCAAATTGACACTAGCAGTGCTTATGTGTATGTATACGCACATCGCAAAACTTGTCTACTGTTCTAGTCAGTGTGGTTATAGCACATCATTCATAAAAATGAAATCGTCATCTTGAAGTAATCAAGTGATATATTGCCTATCAATAGAATCAGCAGACACTTCAAGTGACTGATGATCAAATAAGAGACTTAAGTTAATGATTGTATGAATGATCGATAAATTTTTCCATTGATGCGACAGGCTCACAGCGTGCAATGTTCAAACAGGCCATGAGACATTGGGAGAATTACACCTGCATCACCTTTGTTGAGCGAGACCCTCTACAGCACAGGAATTATATCGTCTTCACTTACAGAGCATGTGGGTAAGAAAAATTTGAAAGCCTTTTTAAGGACATTTGCCAGAGTTTTTTCGAGGAGTCCATGTGAACATTCATTTTTTTCAAACTTCTAATGTTTCAGTCTTTTCTTGAAATGACTAAAGTGCTTGCTGCTCAGATCACATCGAAAAACTCTTTTTCCAGATTAAGAAATCCAAGAGATTAGATTCCCTTTAACCCTGCATAAGAGTTTTATATGATACAAATCACTTGAACTTGAAGGGGGTGCTAGGATAGACATCAGTAGTCAGTCAGTTTGCCTGCCGTATTTACTGACCTGAGTCTGGCTGAGAAGTTGGGGAACTCCTGATGTGGAGCTTGAACTTATCCCACTGTTGATTGCATTTTGACTGTTGGCTACGGTGGTCTATTGGTACACACACGTGTATTTAGAGCAGGCTATTGAAGCATTGATCTTACCTTCACACAGTTGCACTTTTGTAGAGATTAGCTAAGGATGTACAGTAAAAGAAATGCAGCTAAGCAAGAGAATAATTACTAAATTCAAGAAAATAGCACCAGGTAACGCATAGATTGTACAATGTACATAAGCAAACAGTACTTGCAAAACACATTAAAAATAACTTTCAAAACCTATCGGCACCTAACATATGGTGAGAAATCATGATTGACTAAAGCCAATTTATGAAAAAAATCCTTCAGAGCAGAACCCCCGTAAAATAACAATTATCTCAGCAAGTTACATGTAATATGTACTATTGGAAACCTGAATCTATGGAGGCAATGCTTGTAAAGCCAACAGCATCGTGTGGTACGTTTGTTTGCAAGCGCAAGCACATCCGGGTTCTGCATACATATTTGTGATGAAATTCATCAACCAATCAGTGGCCTGGAAATCAATGTGCCTGTCAGGTGGCAGAATCATTCTTAAAAAATGTGTCAACACTTCAAAGACGTTGTGCCGTGAGTCAGCTGGAGAAAGTAGTGAATATAAAATACATTTTTGAGTCGGTCATAAACTGAACTTTCCGTAGCATGTAAACTGAAACTCTGGCCACATTGAAAAATAGGAAAATTTTGCCGCATTTTTGGATGCAAATTTCTTGTGCTTTTGGACAATTATGTCATTTTAACACATTTTTGACAATGATTTCGCTTAAACCTAGCATTTAATGAAAGATATGCATTCTTCAGCTATAATAGAAGTCAACGATTTGAGAGTATCGTTCTTAGCAGCAGCGAAATCCCTCAAATTCCTAATGCTCTCTTTCCTCATTTAATATGCAAGACGTCACACATACAGAAACATGCATATGTAGCTTTTGTGAGTGCTGCGGACTGACTGTACCGGTATGTGGCGTGGCAAGCCAAGTGTTTAGGCCCCCCCCAATAAGTCAAAATAACCCAGCTCTTTGAGGATTAATTAAGAAACTCTTCAGACTTGATGTTATCTTTTGGAAGATCAGGAGGCCAGTCTTTGTCTCCCAGTTTCTCGGTCCTTTGAATGAACATTCTAACACCTAAGAAAATGGATACACACTCTTGTCCATCTAATCAGCCCAGCTCAGGGATCCAAGTAATCACGAGGTCAAAACCACTGGCTTTGCAGTACTGTGGCATCTGACCCTTAGCTTTCCAACTAAGAGCACATGATACATGTACCCTTCCCTTCGCATTCTTTCCTTTTCCTTTCCTGCCCCCTCCCCTTCGTGCAACCCCCTTTTCACCACCAGAGTAGGTACTAGATACATGTACATGTAGCATTCTGAATCACAGGTCATAAGAGGTCAGTTTGAGGAAGGATTGGATTAGCTGTTTGCTGATTGATTCAGGACCCTGGAGGTTATAACCCTTGTCAAGGAAGCAATGACTAGAAACAATGAGGAATAAATTAGGAGGTCCTGAAAGTAAGCAAACAGATCTGTGGCAAAGAAACGAATTTGCAATTTCAAATGTGACAGACCAGTAGGTAATCACCCCATTCCCCCTCCCCACCAAAAAAAACCTAGTTGTTGCTCAGACAATGTAACATTTCAGTCTTTTCTTTCCAAATAAAATTTATTATTGGAAATCTGTTGTGGAATATTTTTCGTTTTTAGTACATCGGCATCATTTTTCCTATTTTGTCCCCTACTCCCCCAGGTGCTGTTCCTTTGTCGGCATGAGGGCTGAGGGGGCACAGGCCATCTCCATTGGCAAGAACTGTGACAAGTTTGGTGTGGTGGTCCATGAGTTGGGCCACGTTGTTGGCTTTTGGCACGAACACACCCGGCCAGACAGAGATGACCATGTCACCATTGTCAAGGAAAACATTTTGCCAGGTGTGACTTACTTATCACAGGTTGTGTCTACTTGTAATGGATGTGGTTATAAATACAGTAGCATGCATGCTTATGAAAGCCAAAGCCTTACTTCTACAGCCAGTTTTCATATCTATGAATGTACATGTATTACTCTTGGCAGGGTTCCCATGATCATGGAAAAATCCTGGGAAAAAACGTTCTGAAAAGTCATGGAAAATTAGGAAAAATAGGGTGTCATGAATCCTTATATTCAAGGAAAAGAGTCTCAGAGAAGTCATGGAAATCAAGATCATGCAGGGGTTATTTTTGGTGGGCTATTTTTGTTTTGATAATGGAGTAATGATAAATTTATGGGCTATACTTTGAATCTGTAGTAATGACTGTGGCATTCTTCCCGTTCATAATGACATTAAATGCCAAGGAAAATGTCATATTTTCGTTCTGGAAAGTCCTGAAAAAATCATGGAGTTTGTTTTTCAGATATTCTGAGGGTCTCCTGTTTCAGCCACAGCCAGTTGATTTGGACATGGCTTGAGCTCCTCGTCAGGTTATTGCATGCTTCATCGTGCATTAATTATTTAGCTGCTCAGCTGAAAGATACTGCTGAGCAGACTGCACTGCTACATTCAAATGCATGATTTCGTGGCATTCGTTATTCCTGTTTACCAAATAATTTTTTGAGCTTAACAAACAAGGCACCTGGCAGCACCTTGAAATTTGCCCTTGGTTGGGTAAATGAACGAACAAATATTTTTTAAACGAAAATTAGCCTTTATGCTGTTGGAAACCAAACCTCCACCTACATGTACCAACTTTTTAAATTTTCTTGCCAAAAATTAACAATTATAAGTATTGCACAGTTACAATTATTCCATAATAGATATCTGATAAATTAGTATTTTTTCCTCAAATATTTTAAGAAAGTGGAATGTTGAGCTCTTAAAAATAGTTTCAAAAGAGAAGTAGTTGTTTTTTGAGAAGTATCCATATTTGAAAGATAACAAATTGTTAATTTTGCATTCATGATGTACCTGTAACATGTAGGAAGTTTGCCCTGTAGATCTACATGAATCTCATAAGACTACCCTTGCTAATATCACTTCATCACTTACAATGTGCTTGTGCTAGCATTGCTAAAATTAAAACAAAACATGAACATAAAAAGGGTTGAAAGTCTGTACCCTCTTTAAAGCTAGCATATCAATCGCTCATGCACAGAAGGTGGTGGAAAATCACCATCCGGAACTGGCATTTCATTGTTGAACCAGACACATTTCCTGCAGTGTAATATGAAAACCAGCTGCATGTTAGCATTTTCTGCACGAAATCCCACTTGAACGCAGATTAAGGGGGTTAATTGAATATGGGCCCTTGTGACATGTGCCATAGAAATCTCTGGTTTGTTTAATTCCGGCAACCCCACAGGAAGACTGGGGGGATCAGAAAAGGTTCTAGAATTAACTGCAGTGCTGCATATGCATGCTTGTAGTCTTGTTTATTTGGGTGGATGTTTTTAGCCTCATTAAGCCTTTGGTTTAGGTAAAGTTTTCCACGTTCAGACACTAATGTTTCTTCCATTAACATACTTCACTTGATGTAGCACAGTGCACAGGTTGGGCCAGGGTTGAGCTGACCTTTGCTATTTTGGCCATTAGTGGGCCAGTCATGTACATGATTTGATTGAGAGAGTGCCAGCCTCGCCACAGGTGGATGCAGCATGCATCACCCCAGAGACTGAGCCCAAATGTTACTGAAAGTGGCAATATCATCCCATGTTGAATTTCAGCAAAAATGAATTTGACAATAAGTTGGGCTAGAAGTGAGATTGAGCACTGATCCAGAAAGATTTCCCAAGACTGATAGATGAAAAATGTGGTGGGTCTATATGTGAGCAATTAATTTTCCTACACTCAATTTTTGTGCATCATTGAACTCTAACATTGTTTCTGTTTGGGGTGGAGTTGAAAAGTACACTTCTTAAACTCCAAACATTGTCCATGCTTTTCTGAACGACTGAGGTGAGGATGAAATTACTGCAAAGAAGACACTGTTTGTTTTTCTGTCAAAGCTGTGAACCCAAAATGTGTTCTATGGAAACATTTCTGAGAAAGGGTTACTCGCTGCCATGTACTGTGTACTTGCAGAATAATAAATCACCAATGAACCAGAAATTTAGGACAACAACATATAAACAATTCCAGCAGTTTTTACCAATGTATGAAACCTGTGGTTTTCTCCCTGGGGTGACATTACAGTTTTTCTCATGAATATGGAAATATCATCAGATACAACCTAAAAAGGTGCCAAAATACCTTTTTAAATAGTAAAAGACAAAAAATGAAAACAAGGTTAATTTTTGAAACACAAAGGTACGTGTACATTATCAAGGTTTATTGTACAATAATTCCTTTGCATGGACCCTTTCAACTGGGCTTGGTTGCAGCAGCATGACTTGGATCTGTGTTGTGAGGGGGCCAATTGAGAAGGGAACTCAATAATTAGAGAGGGCCATTCAGTGGGTTCAGGGAACAGTACAAAGGCCCTCAGTTCTTCTTCATCTCGCAATTGAAGGAGTCAGGGGTCCATGCCCTTTTGTTGCACCACTGCTTGGCTGACATCATGCCGGAATCACATAGAATGGATTCCAAAATCAAACTTAGGAACAAAATTCAGACTGCACTTCAATTTTCTCATAGCTGATTCCTGGTGTTTGAAGATCAGTATGAGGATGGGTCAACTCCAGGATTTGTATATAAACCGCAGGTAACTTTTGGAAGAGATGGAATCTGTGATGAATGGAGCTTGCAACTGTTGAACAAAACGGAGGCAATAAATAAGCACATAGAGAGTAGTTTACCTTTGATCACTTTGTACTTGCCTCTGCAGTTTATAAAAATTTTTAAAAGGCTTTTCTATTTTTGAGTGGTTTGTAATGAAAAGTACAACTGCAGAAAATAATGGAGGTGTCAAAGAATAATTTTTAAAACTAATGATGTTGTGTAGTTACTTTAGCCATTTAAAATTTATAATTAGCCGTTTTGAAAATCTTCTGTTTTTGAGAGAGAAATTCATTGGCGGTTCTGAATAGATCAATGACTTTTTCAAGATGTACTCTGCATCAAGGAGATGTTTATTTCAATTACTGGTTTTTTCCTTACTTGACATATATATTTATAAACACTGTATGGTCAGTGCTTGTCCGGGACCTTGCGAAAAAAATTCCTAAGCTTACTCATGTACCAACGTGAGTAATGTAATACATGAACCGGCCCTCTTCGTTGCCTTTCCCCATGAGATATTTGATTCACATTGGTTTCTTGTAAGTTAATTTTAAAAAGGAAATGTGGAAACTACCTAAACTTTTGTAAAATATAAAAGTATTGTAAAAATAATGTGGAAAAGTAATGGCAGGTACCCGTGTTAAGCACAGTAGTGTTCAATTGTTGAATGTAAATTACATTGATTCCTCAAGGTGGTACATCCCATGGCTTTGCATCATGATACACGGAATGCCTGCGTGCGTGTGTGAACCATCCTTTAAAATGGCCTTGGGGAAGAATTTTGACATCATCCCTTTGTAAAGTCATTTCTCGTTGCTTAGTCATCGCGTACTTTGTGCAGCGCTATACCTCTTGGTGTAATTTTCCAATCAAGTCACCTTGCACTTGTCAAGTTGGCAGCGATTAGTCTAGATTTCAAGAGGCCAGATTTCCAGAGCACGCCAGTCATAGCTGTGTAATAGACACTTCTGTCAATTCTCCCCAACAAGAGAGATTTGGTTCTTAAGTGGGTCAGAAGTGTGGTCGTTGATCGGTGTCAGGCTGAAATGTGAAGACAGCATGTGCTCAGTTTTGGACAGTTTGCCAATCAAAAGCGAAAGTGTGTTATGACTAAAAGGAAAAAAACCACTTGGGATGATTGGAGGAGATTGCCAGCCAGTTTGCAATGTGTTTGAATTTGAGGAAAAAAAACAGCAAGAAATTTCTTCTTGTATATGTTGTCAAACCATAGATATGGGTAGAAATTTATTGCAACTGTTTTCCACGTGGTGTAAACTAAGAAGCAGCAGTGTCAAATAAGTTTCACGTAATATCTCAATTTAGATACCTTAGCATGAATCTTTAGGAAAGGATATCAGACTATTTGCAATCATCAGATAATAACCCTCCTGCCTTTTAACTTCCTGCTGGGGGCATTTATAAATTATGATTCTGCTGGGCTGGAGTATTTTTCATTTTTTTCTCTTTTCAAAAATCTTTCGAAATTCATATCTCCATTTACTGGACACTTACACCCACACGAAGGACTGTCTGGTTCTGCTCTAATCTGATAGACAACATCTATTGATGCTGGAGTATTTCAGCCAGGCCTGCCGCCTTGTAAAAAAAAGCCCAGATTGTGCGGTGTTCCGCATTTTTCTTTTGTTCCCAAAACTGGCACAGTGCGCTGCTGACATTTTTTCAGTAGGGGCCAGATTAGCGTGCAGCAGTACTGTGTGGCTCATCGCTGCAGTGGTGGAGTACTTTTGTCCCTGGTGGTAATCCGCTCACACTGAATGCCCCAAACAGTGGTATACTGTTTCAAAAAAATGCTGGATTATCTTCAGTATTGACAGTGAAAAAATGTTGGTAATTCCATGCAGCCTGGTGTTTTCTTACGAGTACGTTCTTTTGTTACAAGGCCCAGTTCCCTTTGTCCGATTTCGGGCACCCTGGGTGCGCATATAAAAAATACGCACCCAAAACCAGGCTCCCCAGCAGCAAGTGATTAAAGTAAAGACAAACATTAAAACAAAACTTTACATGGAGGTCATGTTTAAAGAACCCATGTTTCTTTTAAATAGGACTACTTTATTTCTCAAATACAAGTAAGTTTCCAGAAATGTGTTTCAATCAATTTCTTGTGAAGTACACTTGACCTATATGTACATGTACATACCAGTATCACATCCTTTTGTATGCACAGAACTGAACAGTATTTAGTGCATGAAAGCACATTAAGCTGTGATTCATTGCTCT